GAATGAATGAATGGTAAACAGGATATGGCCCATAGCCTTCCAGTCTAGTGCAGATCCAAACCAGGGCACTAGCTCCTGAAGGAGGTAAAAGTGCCCGTTTCTCTAAGCTACTGTCTGGGTTCCAGCTGCCCCTGGGCCTGTCTGCATCAACTCCTGGTCTACTGCTTGCAATAGTAGCACTCCTCATAGCCATTTGCTTATTTCAAAAACCCACTGAGGACTTCATCCACATCATTCATTCCTGTGTGACCACTGAGAAAATTGACACTCAAAGAGTGGCTCAGTGAATTAACTGCTCAAAGCCATACAGTTACTAAAAGCCCATATTTTTTACTGAAAGCCCATATTTAACCCTGTTTTGTTACCACTTCCTGAACTCTACTTACCCCCAAAGTTAGCACCGGGTCCTCTAACAGCCAGTATTTGCACCTGCGCTGGGGCTTTTGCCCTAGAATGAAGTGCGCTCGCAGCGGCGCGGTCCAGGATTGTTCTGGCGTCTCCGATCTGGACCACGCTCGCCCCCTAGGGGTTACCGTGGACACTGGGCGCCTCGGTCCTCTTTTCCTCCTGGGGGGAAAAAATGGGAAGTGGAGGTGGAACCGTGAATTCTGTTTAGTGGCCGCAGCACGCACGGCCTCCGGCACTTTGCGGTTGCGGGTCCGCGGATTTCCGGGCGCGGGGTTCGGTCGTCTGCCCCAGGACTACCTCCAGTCCCCGTTCCGGGCCTCTGGGCACTCTTGGCGGAGCCAAGATCAGTTTGGGAAGACTGCGGGGCGCCAGAAGCAGTGTGAGGGAAGGAGGGAGGAGGAAGGCGACGAGGGAGTCAGACGAGTTTAGGACCTCCTCACTGAATCTCTGCTTCCCCATCTGTGAAGTGGACATCTACCTCCTGGGATCCAGGACTGCCCGTGGCCAGGCTAGCATCCCGGCAGCCTTAGAAGGCTAGGACAGAGGCTGGGGCTCTCAGGACCCTCCAGTTCTCCGCATACTGCTCCCCTAAAGCCTTGGGAAACTTGCACCCAAGCCTGCTGGGAGCCTGGCTGGGAACACCCTTTACCTTTAATGTCTTGATTAGTATATAAAACATACTACTTGAGCATAATACCGAAAATAAATTTGAAGCTTGGCTCAGTGATTCTAACCACTGCTTATTAAAACTGTCTTTAGTTTTTCTCTGCTAAAAATGATTCCAGGATTCAAATTATTTCCATCATCACTTTACCCTTTCTTATGTTTCAGGGGATAATTTGACTCCTAACAAAATCCAGTCTTTATATTAAGGGTTTTTCTTATCTGGTTAGGTTTTAGGTAAATTGGGGAAATATATTTACATTTCACCAACAGCTTAAAGATGATTTAATCTGTTTAATCTCCAGCTTCATTCCAAACTGGAATGGAGGCAGCATCAGTTTCTTGCCCACTAATGTGGACCAGGCAGAGAGCCAGGCAGTGGAGGCAGGAGAGGTGGATCAGTCAGGGGTGGTGAGGGATGGCTGAAATTGTGACTGGGCCACAGGCAATCTTGGCTGTGGTACATGAGCCCATATGTTGTATTTGAGGAGGGCTTCATCCTCTGGTCACCTACGTACACAGCTGGGCTCCACTGTAGTCTGGAGGACGGTATGGTCCATGGAGGCCATGTAGAGGCCCAGCCCCCTCATTTTATCTCAGCTCTCAGTACAGAGATTCACTTCTTACAGTCTCACAAATACTCTGAAGGGTCCTGGGTAAAAAGAGGGGATGAAGGGGGCGTCTGGGTGGCTCAGTCGGTTGAGCGTCCAACTCTTGATTTCTGCTCAGGTCATGATCTCACAGTTCACAGGTTGGAGCCCTGCATTGGGCTCAGCACTGACAGCTCCAGTGGGAGCCTGCTTGAGATTCTCTCTCTCTCCCTGTCTCTGTGTCCCTCTCCTGTTCTCTCTCTCTTTAAATAAATAAACTTTAAAAAATAAAAAAAATAAAAAAATAAAATGTTCTTTAAAAAAAGGGGGGGAATGAGAGGCAAGGAATCAATGGAGAAGACCAGAATGGGGAGGATGTTGCCAAATGACAATTTACTACCTTTATTTCCTGACCAAATTTGACCCTTTGATGTATGTGGTTCTCCCCTCGCCTACCACCCACCCCCTACCCCCAACTGGTGTATGGTCTCCCTAGAAGGTAAATAGGAGGGCCTCTCAATCCTTGGTCCTGAGGGATGTCATTCTAACAAGTTTTGGAATGGACACTTAGGCCTTTTCTTTCTTGTGTCCTCTGTACTCCTTTAGAAAAGTTGGAGCACTCTGCACTCTGCAGCATGTTTTCAGAGGCTGTCAGTTGCCAGGCTGGGCAGTGAGCTGGGAGGTGGTGTGTGCGTGTGTGTGTGTGTGTGTGTGTGTGTGTGTGTGTAGACTGGAAAGGGAGCGAGCGTGTTGCTCTGCCTTCCCTGTTTACTCAATCATATGGTGATGTGAGTAAAGCCCAAGAAGAAACACTTTCCTCTCCCCAGCGCCCTCCTAAAGTCTCTCCCTTGGTCATAAGCTCCAAGTACTGCTGCCTTTCCTAGAGTCCAACCCTGGAACAAAGAAGAAATGCAAAGGGCCACTAAATACTTGGGAACATGGCCTCACTATGAATCAGAAAAGCAGTTAAGCTTGCAGTAGATATTGAGCAGTTTGGCAATTTTAAATGTGTATAATCCAGCAATTCTGATTCTAGGAATGTATCTTAAGAAAATAGGTGAATGGATGTATTGAGTTAAATGTGTGAGGATATTTTTGAATCACTGATTATAAGACAAGTCCCTCAGCAGGTGATTGGTTAATAAATTATGAAGCTTATCTAGGCTGGAATGTCATACACATTAAGGAGCTTAAGGAGCAGGCAACCTCATGGTTTCCATGGTGTTTCATTGACACCCATGTGGTCCTGGCCTTGTCTCAGCCCCTGGCGCTCCTGATATTCATGGCCAGACCTCTAAGATCCCCTGCTAAAGGAGTTGGGAACGACCCAGAGAGAAGTACCAAGAATGTCAGGGAGGTGGGCAGAGGCCTGGAAGGGAGCAGAGCACTGAAACAACAGTTCCCCCCAGAGAAGCAACGTGCTGTGTGAGGTCTATTCAGAGAAGGCTACTTTGTAGGCAACCTTCTGTGGATACTGGTTCTTCTGGTTGACCAAAGAAGTTGCGGTTCTTGCCCTCACTGGGTCTGGCTGAATTTCTGAATATCCTGGCAGCGAGATAAAAAAGAAAACATTTCTGTCCAGTGGTGCACATGGACAGGAAGTCTCAGCACCTGGGGCTTGTGGTGGACGCTGTTGTTTGGTGAACACGGTACCCATCCTTGCTTTCTCTGGCAACAATGCCAGTTTTTCTTTGCACAACCGTTGATTTTCACTTCCAGCCTCTGGGGTTCAGATGAAGCTAGCTCTGCTCCCTGGTTCCAAAGTGGTCTTGTCAGAGCCAGTGCCCAGGACTTCTGCTAGCTGTACTGAGAAGGGTCTTCCTTCTCCACGGGGGTAGCATGCAAAGCTGGGGCCGCCTCTGTCTCCACAGGGAGTTTAAATACAAGGTATGGGCAGGGTGTGTGGAGCCATGAGGGAAACTGCAGGAACCCAGTGTTAGCAGCAACTGAGCTGTCACCACATTTAGGCCAGACAGACGAGGAGAAGAAGGGGATTATGGGCCCTAGAAGGAGAAAGTCAAGTAGAGGAGGATGCCTTGTTGGAAAGACAGAGGTGAGAGTTTGCTGGGACAAGAAGCCCAAGATCCACACTGCTGGAGCCAGGTGGTGAAGGCAGAGTGGGAAGAGATAATGTAGGGGAAGAGGAGGTCAGTATGGATTTAATGGTAAATGGCCATTGAATAAATGCCACCCTGGAGGATTTTAAATCAGATGTCAGTGATCTGATTTCAGGTAGAGCGATGCATTATATACCGAGACAAAAGTGGAAGCAGGCAATTTAGCCCTTAGGAAGCAATTGTGGAGGAGGAGGTGGGGGCCTAGATGAGGGGTGGGGCAGTGGAGGAGAGTGAAGTGGTGGGATTCAGGTGCACAGACACAAGTGAAAGTGGGAAGGGGCTTGTGGTGAAAAGTCATATGACCTTGGCTTCTCTACTTCTCTGAGCCTCAGCTTCCTCTTCCAAACAGAGACACCACCTGTTTCACAATGTAAGTTTGACAAACGTAGTGACTAAGAGTATTGCTTTTGTCAGATTTGGATTTGAATCTCAGGTGGGTACCAGCTGGGTGTCCTTCTGCCAGTCAATGATAGATTGTAGCATTTATTGAGCCCTTGCTATGTGCTAACCAGTACAATCCTCCCCAAATTAGCATACTTTTGTTATTTCAGTTTGCAGGAACAGTAGCATGGAGAGAGCGAGTCATTTGTTGGAGGTCCCAGCCAGGATTTTTCTAACCATCACATTGCCCTAACTTTACTGTGCCCCCCCAAAGTGAGATAACAATAGTGACACTTACCAGTGTGGTTGGAAGGATGCAAGAAGAAGCCTGGCATCTGTGCTGTGTGGAGCCTATTTTGGATTCTCTGTCTCTCTCTCAAAAATAAATAAACATTAAAAACAAAAAAGAGGCCTGGCAAATGGGCGCTGGTTAAATTATTACTAGAACCATTATTATTACATTCTTTGTATTTTTCCGAGTTTTTGCTGGGCGCAGGCGTCACTTGGACAAATCCTTTGGATTAAAAAACAGACCTGTCAGGTGAAGGGAAAAATGCAGCTGCGGGCTTCTGGTTGGAGGCTCTGGTTGTGGCCGTAGGGGGCGTGGACTACAGAGTGGGGTGGGGCCAAAGGGGGGGGCTGGGCTAGAGGGGCGGGGCCAGGACGCGAAAGTGGAGGCTGGGGGCGGGGCCCTGAGGGAAGGGGCAGGATTCGGGAGGGCGGCGCATGCTCGTTGATGCGGCCAGCTCCGCCGCCGCCGCCGGCGCCACCGCCCACTTGGGGCTGGCCAGAGGCAGGCACCCGGGGTGCAGAGTAGGTAGGGCTGGACAAGCGCACGGCCATGGCCCCGTGGCTGCAGCTCTGCTCCGTCTTCTTCACGGTCAACGCTTGCCTTAACGGCTCGCAGCTGGCCGTGGCCGCGGGCGGCTCCAGCAGAGCGCGGGGCGCCGACACCTGCGGCTGGAGGGTAAGGAGAAACTTCTCGCCGTCCCCAAAAGCGCGGCGGGCGCGGTGCGCACAGGTGCTCGCGGGCAGCTGAGCCGGTGCAGACGTGCCTGCCCTTCGCAGAGTCAGCGGCAGGGCTGGGATCCCCGCTGCTCCCGCCCTTCTTTCCCTCCCGGGGTGCACGTCCGCCAGCCCCGGCCCGGATGAAAGGGGCCGCCCGACCCCCGGCTTTGTGTTGCTAATGAGGCGCGGTCACTGGCTGGGGTCCGGCTCCCAGAGGGCGGGTGAGAAGGGCGTCCCGTGGCGGGCGGGAGAAGGGCGCCCCACCCTTTGTTCCCGGACCGGTACCTCTTCGCCCCGGGTCTGGGATCCTCCGAGCTGTCCGAACTGGGGGCGCTTTGGACCCGGCAGTGGGGGTCTTCCCGCGGACCTCCGGTTCACAACTCTGCAAAGGCCCAGGACTGCCAGAGAAGGGACCCAGAGCGCAGGGGAGGGATGCGCCCCCTCTCGTGGCCGCATTGTTACTTTTAGGCTGTGCAGTCTTACCCCACTTTCACCCCAGCCCCGACTCCTGACTTGCTGGGAAATTTTGCTCGTCGTCCTTCGTCTAGAGAATGGTCTCACGGATGACCTACACCCCCTCTCCCCGTCCCCAGCTTGACCTGCGGATATTTTTCTAGACCAGAGGGAGTGAGTTTATCACCTCGGTCAGGAGCCCCAGAGGAGACTGGAGAGGTGCACAGATTTCGCCTTGTGCTTGGAGACTTCCCCCAGTAACCGACCACTTTGATGCTGTCCCGGTGGCGGGCGTGGGGTGGTAGGCTGTGTGCGCGGAGATACTGAGTTCCCACCAGGGTTTCTGGGTTTGGGCGGCGCCAGAACAGGGAGAGTGCATCTGTCTGCCCCTCACCTCCCACTGAAGCCAGGGCGGCCCGGCGTCAGGGCACTCAAGGCCTTCAGACATGTGGAGAGGACATAGGCAGCCACGAACATGACCTTGTCTGTGCTTCGGGGGCTCCAGTTTCTTCACTTGGAATAATGGGAATAGATGGAGATTTCCTAGTTATCCCAGCACTGTTTCTCTGAGAGATGGGTCATTTACTTAGAACACCGTTGTGCCACCTCTTCTGGGATGTTCTGAATGGCCTCAGAGCAGTCCAGGCTTAGCACCTGGCACCCTTTTAGGATCTTAGGCTATTGCTTTCAGCTCTTTTGCCCCACATTCAGAGAAACGCAGTGCAGAAAATCAAGTATGAGGCAGCAGATGGGATATCTTCAAACCCAATAGCTTCGCTATAGACAGCTATAATACACCCTTCCACCACATCATAGTGAATATAGCCTTCCTTTTTGGGTAAAACATCACCTTTTCGTACTCTGTCCCACTTTAGTAAAATATCACTATTATTATATTTTAAGATACCGAGTTTTTCCCAGTATGTAGATAAAAAAGTTTTCCTTAAGGCTGTCTCATATTGACTTACTGATCCTGATAAACTTACATTTTTTTTAAGTTTATTTATTTATTTTGAGAGAGAGTGTGTGAATGGGGTAAGGGCAGAGAGAGAGGGAGAGAGATTTCCCAGCAGGCTCCACAAGGACACAGTGCAGAGCCTGATGCTGGGCTCGAACTCAACTGTGAGATCATGACCTGAGCCAAAATCAAGAGTCGGATGCTTATCCGACTGAGCCCCCAGGTGCCCAAGATCCTGCTAAACTTTTTGGGTCTAAACAGGTATTTTGGCTTTTGAAGAACTGTAGGAGCATCACATGCATTTTATTCTGAGTTTTCATATGACAGCACAGGTGGATCAGTCCTAATTGCTGTGTTTCTGCATTGTCTAGGTGGCTTTATGTGTCAGTGCACAAAGCTTGTGAAGTCTTAATGCCTTGGGTATAATAGTGACCTAAAAGAGCCAGGCTGGTGGTTTTGTTCTCT